TATTCGAAGCTAACAATTATAATACTGGGGATTTGATTACGAGTACTAGAAAAGAACGTCAAACTCAACTGGGCATATCAAAACGGTAAGTAAATATTAATTTAAAATTTTTTTTTTACTATTTCTGGAAATTCTTATCAGTCATGCGGTGTTAGGCTTTTGTGCTATTTTTTTTTTCAAACATATAAGACCGAACATTTGACGAACATTTTGTCACCGAAAAATTTAAAAAATCTATTACAAAAACTGAAACAAGGAGTCTACCCGTTACGAAAATTTTGCTACCAGCGCAGAATAGTTTAAACTGTTGAAATTTTTCAGGCTTTTTCGGATTCGTTTTTGAAGTTTCGTTACTTTTTGTGTTTTATTCGAAAATGATTACCACTAAGTATCGATTCATATCCACAGATTCTTTTGCTAAATTCAATAGTCCTTACAGCTCACTATGATTGCAACATTTTCCAAATCGGGGTCTACTGGCATTTATCGGGCAGGCAGATTAAGTATCCTTTCCAAAATCAGCCGTTAGGGTTTTATTCAGCGCTCTGTTAAACAGATGACAGCCAGACGTTGTATCCTTTCCTAAGGCTCAAGGTAAGTAGATTTTCTGAATGACGTTCACCACACCACAGCATCAGAGCAGGACACAAATCTCAAATAAGGACTAGAATTTCTTTGCGGGGTACTGGGCCCTTGCGCCCTTTCTTCAACCAACAGTTTGTTTGTCAACTCAAGGTAATTCGTGTAGCCTTTGATAGTCAGCTCGATGTCGATGAAGGGACCTTTTATTTCCCTTTAAGAGTACCATACCCATTTTTTCTGTATTTATCCCTAAACTTGCTTGAGTTATTTTTGGAGAGTGGCTTCAAAGTACTTCCCATATAACTTTTGTGATGATCCCTGGTGTCTTTTGAAATCTGTCAATATTCAAATAAAGCTAGTCCTTTTTCATTATTACTATTTTTTAAGTCAGGCCTTACTGATGCTGATTTATGTATAAGTAAAAAAGAAAATATTTCTAAAATTAATGTATCCAATATAACGTATGCAAATGAGAAACATATTTTAAATATTATTTTTAGTACTTTATCAATATTGGAAAATCCTTCTACGCCTTTAAAGATGTCAAAAGATGAAAGAAGTGAATTTATGGCCATTTACCCAGGTATGTATGGCATACAATTAATTAGTATGTTTAATTTAGTCTAAGGACCAATTTGATATCAAAAATCAAGGGGCATTTATGTTAATAAATTTAATGCCAAATTTCCACCAGACATTGAAATTACAAAAAATGTCTGCCATTTAAAAAGAAACAAACCTAATTTCTATGTTTGTTTTAACGCCAAATGCAAACCCAGCATAACTATGAATTGATTTATATTTACATATTTATGTAAATGGAATGTTCTTTTTCCAAACGAACGGAAGCTTTTGAACATAATCATCAATCTGAAATGGCTCCAAAGCAGGATCTTCTCCGTATATGCTAAATATTTGTAAGAACATTTTTTATTTTCAGTACCCCTACTAAAGATTTTGATGATTCTACTTCTCAGTAATCAATATTTCGAAAATAAATTTCTGATCGCATAATCAAGTTTAAAAAAATAAAGTTTTTTCCAAGACGAATTAATATAAGTTGATAACATTTTTATTTATCATTTGTATTTTGTTAGTTGTCAAACAAAATTTTACAATTTGAAATTAGCAGTCGAAACACAAAATCAGCTGATCTAGTACCATCACCTTATATAAATTCGCCTTGGTTTTTTCTTTAACCCTAAAAGCCCAATCTACGTCAATCGGGATTTTTTTAATTTGAATACAAAAGTGCGTTCATAATTTGTTGTTTAAAATAAATGTGGTTGTCGTTTTTATTAATAAAACTACGTTTTGTTATTAGCTTATATCACAACTTCAATATTTCTTTAAAAAAAATTAGGCAGAACTAAGTATATTTTAGCTCACAGGTTGTCTTTTAAGTCACCTACGCCTCTAAGACATGCGTTTGAACTTTACGCAACTTTCAAGTAGATTGGGCTTTTAAGGTTAAGGAACTTATTTGAATCAAAAAACATTCAATAACCTGTTGCTTTTTTAGATGTTTTGCAAGACCTGACCGTGATAGCTGATAAATTCAAAAGTAGATACGCTGCAGATGGGCTAATAACGGTAATACAAATACTAAATTTCCAAACAGGGGAAGTTAGACTAAAACATTTTATAGGCTGTAGATTATAATATGTCGCCAACGAATGGGAAATGTGGCCTTATCTCTGTTTTGACATACAAAAGTTTAGCGAAAGGCCATAAACTGAACGCAGAAAAATTAAGACTGGCGAATTTGCTTGGCTGGTGTGTTGAACTGGTGAGAATGGCATGTTTGATATCTAAAAATTAGTTTTATTTTCTACATTTTCAATTGCCTCTCAGCAACATTGTGCTTTACTAATCGCTGATGATATGGTAGACAATGGCATTGCACGTCGTGGCAAGTTGTGTTGGCATAAATTAGAAGAAGTTGGTCTAAATGCCATTAATGACGCGCTAATGATCGAAAACTGCATCTTCGTATTACTCAAAAAGCATTTCCGTTACTTGGATTGTTATGTCGATTTGATTGAATTATTTCATGAAAATACTTTTAAATGCATATCTGGACAATCATTGGATATGCTGCTTAGTAAAAAGAGTGTCGACACTTTCAATATGGACATTTACAACACACTTGTGTTGAATAAAACTTCAAACCACTTCTTCTACTTGCCCATAATGTTGGGT